AAACAGAAGAGAGAAAGAGAAGGAAAACGAAGAGCTTGGTTTTTACTTTGCTAGGGCACAACATTTGATCCCATTGTTGATAGATTGAAGCTCCCAAACATCCAAGGTAAGATCATGGTACCTTTTTCTTCCTTTCTTTCCCTCATTTATGATGGTTTATGGTAGGTTTGAGTTGGGAGATGGATTTTCAGTCTATAGGAGTATGAGTCTGATTCCATTAGTTAAAATGAGATTAATGGGAGTGATTTAATGTATTAGACCACTACATTGATGATTGGCTAGTCCATAAGAGCATTGAATGTCTGAAAATTAGTATTTATGAGGTAGTTGGAAAAGGTTAATGTGCATTAACGATGGTTTGAGGTGTTATTAATGATAATATGCATTAATGAAATCTAATGAGTCCATTGAGTAAGAATGGGTATTGATTATGAGTTGGTTAAAATAGTGTTTGTAGAGTTTTATGTTCAAGAGTTAAGTAATGATGATGTTTTGTGGTTTGGATGATTAGAGGTTCGTTTTGGCACCTTTTGAGCTTGTTGAAGTTTTGGGAAGTTGATATAGTGAGGGGTAATCCTTTGACCTCTCAAAAGTTTGACGTAACTGGAAAAAACTTAATTTTTATAGTTAAATGTTAATTGTGTTTGTGAAATGTGATTTGTAAGTTAAATCATTGATGCATATTGGCAAGTGCTTGATTGTGAAATGGTTTTGGAATAGAAAACCTTAATTCTACCACCCTTGATGTTTTATGAAATCACTTTTGATTTATTATTATGGGTGGAGAATTGTGATGAATTATGTGTTAAATTGCAAGTATTTGTATTATGTGAGTTTATGTGTTGAGAAGTGATTATTAAAATGCATATTATGTGTGAAATGTGCATAGCATGATCATTGGCAGGAGTTTGCCTAAGGAGCAGAGTAGATTGATTGAAATCCACTGGTATTGGCAGTGACCGTTGGAATCGAGAATTAGCCTTGGCATCGACCGTTGAAATCGAGAGGTAGCCCTTGTCCCATGGTTGATTTGGGACTGTCTTACTTATTCTACGAGGAACTTGAACCTAACTAGTCTCCACTGGTTCATGAGGAGGCTAAATTAGGGGTACGATAACCCATAGTTGTTAGTATTGGGAAAAATTGGATTACATAAGTGAGTGAGTTAATCCTGGCCCGGTAGCTCCTTACAAGTGAAAGACTAGGTTAGTCCGTGAAGGATGTAGCCACGTGATAGCCCTCGATTTTATGTTAGACGTAACAGGAGGATATAAGGTTGGCATATGATCATCCACATAAGTTCGGCCACATGGTTGTTAGTTTTGTGGCCCAACACGTGTTAAGGGTGCATGGTTGTTATTTTTGTAACCCTGAGTTATGTTTTTGAACATAACATGACATAGTGTTTTGTAATAAGCCTGATCACATGGTTGTTAGTTTTTTGAACCGTGGGCTAATACTATGTGATATATGTGTTTATGTGCCTAATTGTATCTATTTACAATTAATATATAACTGTAAGGGTTAAGTGGAACTTGGTTACTGAGTGGTTGTATTCACCTCTCAATTCTAACTATTTTTAGGACCTAGCTCATCGGATCCAAGTCGGGGAAACATGCTAAGGCTTATGATTGGTGGAGCAAATCCTCTATATGCCTCTCTTTTGTTTTTTTTTTTTACATGTGTATTTGTTAATGGCTTTGCCAACTAGTAGCAATTGTCATGATTAGTGCACTACTTGCATAATTTTGTATTTAACTAGTATATTTTATGTCTTAGGTCAGTGAGTTTTGTTGTGAACTCGTGAATAAGGCCAAAATACTTGTGCAAGTAGGAACATATGAATTTTTGAGAAATATGAATGAAATGATTGATTTTGTGTAACTTTTCATCTCCCTCTATGTTTTGTGAAAATTAGGGTTAGATTTTGTGAAATAAATGTGTTTGATTGCATGTAGTGTGTTGCACGAGTCTGCAAGAGTTCATTGAGTATAGTCGGAGGGTTGGTGTAGGCTATTGGCACGAGTGGTTGAGTTGGGATACCCTATTTGGAGATTTTATGAAAATGTGTCAAAATGAGATTTAGTGTCCAAGTTTTTATAGAAAATGAATTTAAGTGTGAAACAATGCCATTAGCTAGAGCTAGGAGAAAGCTCCGTGTAGACACTGAAACCACCTCAATCGGACGTCGGACGGAGATTTGGGACACGTTGGAAGTTCGCTCCCTGTGTTGTCAAATGACAGCACTGAACTATCAAATTCGTATAATGCGCCGCGGCATATAGCACCTCATGTTGGGGCATATGGCATAGAGGAGATATGCCGTGACGCACAAGCTGTAAGCTGAGGCGCACATGTCATTTTTTGCACAGAAATGATTTTTGAGTTTTAAAACTCATTATTTGAATCTCAATTAATTTTCAAGCTCTCGCTTTGTTTTTAAAAACTCTGATTTAGAGTTCTTAAATTTATGTTTGAAATTTAAAATGGCAAATTGGGATTCCTGTAAAATGATTTTTGAGAAATTCTTTTTTCAAAACCTCAAATAACTATAATTTAGAATTAATTTATGGTTTAACCTCAGGGAGGTTACACTCTTAATTTGTTTATCAATTCTGGATTAAATATTTGGAATGTTACAATATTCTTTACCAACAACAATTTCATGAATGCTTGGGGACAATTGGTAAATGTATACTTGCTAATTATGTCTATTAGTTATGTTTTATGTGTTATTTCTTTAACTCTTGCAGTGTTACTGTACTGTTCATTTTAATTAGAGTTATTAGGAAAAATTAAATTTTGCAATTGAAAAATTTCAAATAATCAACAAAATATCATAACCAATTAAAAAGACTATACGTAGAATCACATTCAAGGATTTTTCAAAAGAATTATTTGTAAACATGGATCAATATGGAATTGTTTGTTGTTAAAATGGTAATAGCAACTCATGATGACTTATTGTTAGTCTTGTCTATGAATAATTATCTTGGGAGGTCTTTGATGCATCTGTCTTGAAGCATGTGTTTACTTCTAACTTTGGATCAAAAAATTATACGCTTGTTTGGCAACTTATTCTAAAAACAGTTTTTTATTTTTCAAAACAAAAAAACAAAAATTTTTTTGGTGATATGTTTTTAAAAAGTGTTTTGAAAAATAAAAATAAAATAATATATTATTTTGGAGAACAAAAAAATAAAAATATCTTTCAAGTGTTCTGAAATTATTGTTATAGAGAATAAAAGAGAATAAAAAAACAACCATTTTTATTATTTCTGTTTTCAGAATATGTTTTACAAAATATTAGTTCTTAGAACAATAAAACAAAGATAGTTTCAAACGAACCTTATATCTTGAGAGCTTTCCTTTTGTTTTTATCAAGTGTCCAATTATTCAAATTTAAATCAACGGATGATATAAGAATAATTTTTCACAAATCTGCATTATTTTTATTTTAAATTATGCAACTAAAAATAAACGGTAATATGCGTTTTAAGTTTTAACCCATTATAAATAGTGCTGTTTGCTATAAAATACTTATTGGAACATATAACTACAAGTTCAGGTAGAGTGAAATAAAACAAAATCTTTTCAAGAATACAAATGGGTCCTTCTATTTTTTTTAAAAAAAATGTACCTAATTTAATTGTGACTTGATGGAGATATCTGACATTTCCTTCTCAAACAAAAAATTAAATTTAATAAACAGATTACAAAGAAATTAAAATATATGACACTCACGAAAAGGGAAAATGACGTTTAAAGACCCCCTAAAAAATTAATTATAATTAAGAATACTAAATTTTAAAATTTCAAATATGACCATGATGATCCTTGGCTAAAGTTAGAATAAGATAATTTTTGCACTGCTCATATTTCATATTTTTAATACTCATCTTTTATATTTTCAATACTAAAAAGAATTAAAGATAAATGTTAAAATCATTGAAGGAACATATTGAAAACATTCAAGATAATATTTGAAAAATTTAATAATAGAGTATTGAAAATTCAAAAAATAAATATTAAAAATATGAAAGATAAATACTAAAATTATGAAAGATGTGTGATGGAAAAAGTTCATTCAGAAAAATTTTAATGGAAGAATGACAATTAAGTGTTAGAAGATTAAATTAATAATAGTTAGCTTTTTGACAAAATTTTTTGAATAAATAATTTACAAATATTAATTCAAAATAAAGGTAAAAACAGAAATCCTAATTATGCTTTAAAAATTATATATTTAAAATTTAAATACTTTATCTACAATTGAAATGCTTAAATACGTAAATTGTCTAAATTAATATTTAAATTTATGCCGTGCTTCACTCACGTAGGAAAATAGGAATGCTAGAAAATGAGATGAGAGAAAATAAATATAAGAGAAAATGGGAGGAATATAATTTTCTTTCATTGTGTTTAGTTAAGCGAGAGAAAACTAAAAAGAAAGAAAATTAACTTGAAAATTTAGAACTAATATTTTTTTAATCAGTATAAAAATTAAATATATTGCCTGTTTAACAAAAATTTATGATCAAAATGTAACTATACTACAAATATTATGATAAAAATAAAGGGAAGCAAGAGGCGATGAACAAGTTTATAGATAAATTTGAAAATAAATCTCTCTAAAATCTTTCTATATTTAGAGAGAAAAATTGAAGATAAAAACATATGAATCTCATATGCTATGTTCCTTCTACTTTTCTTTCTTCTTTACTTTTTTCTTTGTAGCCAAGTAAGGAAAAATGTTATTTTTTCTCTATTTTTTCCTCCTGTCAAGCATAGTATTAAACTTATTTTTCTAAAGAAATTGTCATAGATCAAGTTATCATTAATTTAATTTTTTTAAAACCTAATTTTCATCTTTCTAATTTTAATTTCAAGTAATAGCTTTTAAAAAATGTTATAATACTAAATTGTAATTGAAGTTGAGGTCTTAAATATCATTTTACCAAAAATAAATTAGCCCCACCTACTTTCCCTCTCTCTCCGGCACAAAAATTTAGGCCTGGATTTAGGAGATGCAAGGAACGTGGATTCCTCGTCATGTGAATCATCTCTTCCCAATGAATCCCCATTCCTCCTCTTCATTCCTTTCTCGTTCGTTGATGCTTTTTTCTTGCCGTTTCAGACTTACTTGATCTAATTCTGGATTGAGTACATTCCAATGCATTCCCTCCTTCAATCAAATTCAGTGTTTCTGATTTCAATTTTATTTTGTCCATTCCATTTTGTCTTCTTTCCAGTTCTAACTACTCTATTTTATTATTATTTTGTCCGTTCATTTTTCTTCCCCGGTTTTGATCACTCGATCAATCGTTTTACTATTGTTGTTTTGTCATCTCAGATAAATTTCGCACACGATGTTTCCGGAACGACTCGCTTCCTGTCGTTCTTAGTTGGAGCCATTGTAGATTTTCAGCGTTTCTTCTATTTGTCGATTTGAGATCATGGCTCTTCTTTTGCTTTCTGCCATATTGTTTGATTGGTTTCCACAGAATAACTGAAGGGTTGTGAAATAATTGTTGTTCTCGTCGTGTTGGCAATTGTGTTTTATAGGTTACAATTTTTGCGATTGTTTTCTGATTTCCATTAGATACACGCCCATGAAGGGAGAAGAGGTGAAAGGTGAACAAGAAGAGCAATTATATTTAGAGGATCGTGATATTGGAAGAAGAAGCTTGGTTGTGAGTGATGTGAAAAGGGTACTTGTTGGAGCAGGGGCTCGTGCTCTTTTCTATCCTACTCTGCTTTACAATGTCCTTAGGAATAGGTTTCAGGCTGAGTTTCGGTGGTGGGATAAAGTTGATGAGGTAAATTTTTGTGTTCTTGTCTCTGTTTTTAATTGTAGCGTGGCCTTAAATTTGATTACCCTCTCTTGGTTTTATCCTCGTTCATGTCGCAATGAGTTTACGACTGTTGTCTTATGTCTTCTACGAAACCGGAATTCTTCTATATTCTGACGCACTTAAATTTTCAGTTCATATTATTAGGTGCTGTTCCATTTCCTATTGATGTTCCCCGCTTGAAGGAGCTTGGCGTTTGTGGAGTCATCACATTGAACGAGTCATATGAGACCTTGGTTCCAACCACACTATATCATGTTAGTGTTCTTTTCTTTCTGCTGCATGTTATGCTGTGGGAATATTCTAATTTGGGGCTTGTGTTATATCAATACTTGATTGCTACTCATAGGTTCAAGAGAGTCAATTTATTTTCAGTGATTAGAAAAATTTGTTCGTCTTTGGAACTTCGTCTTTCATGGTCTTGCAGCTTCCCACAAAGTACCAAAGCTTGATCGTTGAAGCATTCATTGTGATAAGAGGATCTTGTACAAGAAAGATCAATTGAGGTCATATCCTTCAAAATGATGTGCAGTAATACATAGTGTGAGCTTATAATTTACAAGATCTAGAAAACATCAATAATATCCCCTTGAATTGTTGGTAACTTGTACTTTACCATGAATTGCTTGTGTCTAATTATTTAATGGATGGGTGGAGTTTGCAACTGTGTGTCTAAGCCTCGAGGAAGTGTGCTTTTCTAGTCTTGGCTCATGAATCATTCTGTTTCGTAGGCATAGCAGTATTTTTTTTTCAATGGCATTGAATTTGTTGCAGCAACTTATGCTTTTTCTGACTACAAACTTATTTTGGCAGGCTCATGGAATCGAGCATTTGGTTATTCCTACTAGAGATTATTGTTTTGCACCGTCATTACGTGACATATGCCGTGCTGTGGACTTCCTACATGGTGAATACTGCCGGGAAAAAAAAAAAATCGTTTGACTGTAATGATATGTGACTATTTAGAAGCGCCGATACAGTTCTAAATCCTCAACCCTAAATTCTGAACAAAGCTGGGAACTTAATTACTCTCTATTCACCTCTTTCCCCATAGAAATCTACAAGCTAAACCAAAGTTTTTAATAAGTTATGAATGCACATCCAAGGGTAGACTTGTACTGTCTGCATGCCCCGTCATTTAATAGTTTTGAAATTATTTACGAGTCACACAAACACACATATATTCTATTTTGACAATTGGATTTCTGCAATGAAGAAAATGCATCGTCTGGGAGAAGTACATATGTCCACTGCAAAGCTGGGCGTGGTCGCAGCACAACCATTGTTATCTGTTACCTGGTTGGTGCCAATAAACCTTTAAAAGGGGAGAAAGTTGGGGGGAGGAAAGTGAGATGTGCGTTGTGGTTTACAAGTTCTGACTTTTTCAAGTTTCTTTTACACCTGATTAGGTACATTACCAGATGATGACACCTGATGATGCATATGATTATGTAAAGTCAATTCGACCAAGGGTTCTACTAGCATCTTCTCAGTGGCAAGTAAGCATGAGATTTGGTTATGATTAGCATCATCTTGGATTCTAATGGTTTACCCAAATCCATATGTTGGACCCCATCTCAGTCCACTTGCAAACTTCTTTCATTTTCAAACCTGAAATAATACTGTGAACTGTGTAGGAAATGTTTGCTTTGTGATTGTTAAGTCCCGCTGTTTCAATATCAGGCTGTTCAGGAATACTACCACATCATGGTGAAGAACACAATTTCATATCTTCCCACGGCCAATTTACTTTTGAGGCCATCACAGGCTTCTGCATCAGCGTCCAAAGACTTGGTAAAATTTGATGATGATGGGTCTGTAGTTGTAACAGAGTCAGATCTTGAAGGGTACGATCCAAGAATCCAACCAAGTGGTGTGAGAAGAGAGATATGGGCAGATCTAAGTTTTGCGTACCATGTTCGAGTTGCTGGGCAGGCTGCACTGACAGGAATGTCATGGCTCAGGCTGAGATGTGTGTCAAAGCCAAGGAAAATGAAGGGAAGGGGAAATAGTTCCTCATTCACAAGTGATCATTTGGGAGGAATTAGCGTTGATATCCATGTGTACTGAGAAAAATCCATTACTCACTCTTTTTTTAAAGTCTGATATTTGTGCCCCAACGGTGAATAATTCATGTTAATGAAAAGCGGGGCTGAGTTATGAAGCTGATTTTCTCCCTTGTATCCAGTTACTTGCTGTCCTTTGCCAAAAATAATGGGAAGAATGACAGTAACGTTTCAAAAGAAATAATAACAGTTAAATCCTTGACAAGATTTTCTGAAGAGTAAGTTGCAAAGCATTGACTTAGATAATTATCATGGGAACTTCAATTGCAAATTAAGAGATACTTTTAGAATGTCTTACTTATAATTGAAACTCTTGTGTCCGCAATTATTTAAATTAATATTTATAATTTAAAAAAAATTATTGAAAAGTTAACTGTTATTAATTTTTTTTAAGACTTAAGTATCATTCACTTGTTTGAAAAAGTGATACACAAAATTAGTCGTTAGAAACCACAAAAAACCAAACTACTCTAAACTAGAGGAACTTTTGAGTTTTCACTCTTTAATCATCCATGGGTCGTCCTTTGAGAGCATACATGAAATGATGATTAAAGATTTCCTTTAAAGCATGATCAAGTGAAAAGAGGGTTAATCTTGTTTCTCAAATTATGCTACTAAATATTCTCATTAGATTTGATAATGATTAAATTTATCCCAGTAATAATAAATATATAATTATGTAAAAAATATACTCAAACATGTAACAGTAACATCATATACCTTGAGTAAGATTCGAAATTGAAATTTGTGTGTATATACACCCACAAAAAAACTCCTGCCCAAGAAATTCATGGCAAATCTGAAATGTGGAGATTTGATTGATGAGTAAAGATGCATGTTGTAACATCCCATTAAATAAATCATTTACAACATACCCCCTCTGGTGTACCTTTTTCTTTTTTCTTTTTCCCAAGAACCTTCTAAATATGTTGAAATTAGATAATCAATTCATACAGATTAAAACCAATAACTAAATTATTTGTAAAAAAAAAAGTTAGTTTTTAAAAATAGTTCACCTTTTAATCATTTATACTTACTGTGTGCAATCAACATTTAAAAAAAAATAATGTGGGAAGCAAAGATTGAAATCTTACATTTAAGACGACAAAACAAATTCCTTAACTAGGTCTAACCGTTAAAACCGGATGGACTACCAACTTTGAACTTTCCATTGCAATGAATCGATTTAGCTTAACTTTTGCGGTCATATATATCCTTCATAATGTGTGTGTGTGTGTGTGTAGAGAGAGAGAGAGAGAGATGCCATGATTACTTTCTTCTCATTTCAGATAGAATCTCCATTTGCACACGTGACAATAAAACTAACCAAAAAAAAAAAAAACATGCATAGAAGTTCAGGTAGTTATCATTTCCATTGCCATTCCCATTCCAGCCTTCCACAGCCTAGCAAACTAGACACGGCATAAAATAAAATCATAGCATCAATGTCAAATCAGGTCGCAAATTTACACGTTGGGGAAAAAAACGCATATAAAGAGCTCTCACATACCATTTCCTGTCTTTAATTCTTACTTTCGTAGGGTTGTCTGCAAGAGACTAGTTGTACCATTTTCCTTCCCCTATCATGTACTGCATTTATATTTGCTTTCCACAGCAACTTACAGTGATCAAGGGGGTGGCCGATCATGGCTTCTCCTTCAACCTCAAATAAGGCCTAAGTCTCATGCTGGAGATTCTTGCAGATGTCTGTTCCTTCAGATATGGAACCACATGTTTCTTCATATCCTCTCTTGAGATTCCTAAATGCCTTCCCTCCACACTAATGAACTGAACCCTTCCTTCTTCATCCAACTTTCTTAAGCCTATCCAATCCTCTATGTAAAGTTTTGTCTGCAATGCGTATCAAGAGATATTAACAAAATCATCCCATAAAATTTGGAATAAATTACATGCGTATCCCTTTATATTTATCAAAATGACACTTCTCATGAGTGGAGAGTCTCTTGAACTCAAAAACCTCACTTTTCTTGTAAAGCTCCCTAATGTAGGACTCGTTACAATGAGTTGAGATAGCCACGTATAGATCTCATTTATTTCGAAGCACACCATTCCTTTTTTTTTTTTTAAGAAAACAAGAATTGCATCGCATAAACCTCTGAATTTAGTTAAAATTAGATGAAATTATTGTTTATTTTAAAAATCTACACGAATTTCCCCCAACATCAAGTGTACACACTTTGGCCAAAAGAAAAACAAAAAACAAACAAACACACACACACACACACACAGACCCCACACAGAACCCCTTCTATGTTTTGCTAAAATAACACAAATGTTTCATCTATGTTCAGATGTTTTCGTATATTATGAAAATAAAAATAAAGCAAGTGAAATTTCAACGTAACTTCTAAGTTTTCTGAAATATACTCTGGTTCAGGGGAGGTCTTAGCTGAGGAAATATCAAAATAGAGATGTATAAATAATTTAGCAAAATTCAAGGTATGTTCGTATTAATTTTGAACAAATCAGTTAATCTAATTTCATCAGAACTCTGAAGAATTCTATATTGCTGGAATTTTTAATACAAGTATTTTAGTCATTGCACTAAATCAGAGCACATTTTTTGGACTTATGTAATGCTGAGTAATATATATTACTGTCATTTATACATGCTGCCATAAAATCCTTTTTCGTCTCTAGATATCCATATAACTTAGCTTTCAGGCAAAAGAAATTTAGTGTTAAATCATGATTGAGCCAGATTCTACATTATAGTTAATAAATGAAAATGATACCGAAACAATTCAGGAGGAATGATTTTTATCACTAACAGATATTAAAGACGACGAGGCTTATGTTACCTGAGTAGTCGGAAAGACTAAAACCACTCAAATAAATGGAAATGAAAAGAAATAATAAGAAAAGTGTATCACAGAGACAAGATTCTTTACCTTTTGGGGGGGTACGACCGGACTGAAGGACCCATCTGGGTAATATCCAAACCAGGCAGTTTCCTTAGGTATCAAAACAGTGTCGTGCTCAAACTGTTCATTAATCAATTCGCATTTCAGATTGCAATATTCTTATTGAATCAAGAGAAGTTACCTTACACTTAAAAGACTAACTTACCATAATAAGCACTAAATTCTGCAAGCTACTGAATCTCTCCTTAAAAGTGGCGTTTTTCCCATCTGGAAGTTCATTATTCAGCACAGGAAGAAATCTACATTTATCTAAATATTTAGGTATAGCCTGAAATCAAAATTGATCATTCCATCAAGGATTGGAAGTATTTCAAGGCAAAACTCCAAATTTATACTAGGAGCTTTCATTATTATAAGGCATTTTTTTTAAAGCATCATGTTAAAAAAATACAAGGCATTTTGAGTCTTTAAAGGCATAAATAATAACGCTTTTACAAAAATACCCTTAACTAGGGGGTAATTAATAAAGTTTTATAATTTTAACACCTTATTAAACAAGGGCAAACATGAAAAGAGCATGTAATTTTAAAGACAATTAACTAACTAATTGGAGTGTGATTCGGTTAAAAATGCCTTATAATATTGAATGGGGGAAATAGTTTAAATAAGAAACTGAATATGAAAGCACCTAAAAAAAGAGGCTTTCTATGATAGAGGTATAATTCATGACATAGAAGTAAGACACTTTTTGCCTGGGAAGGAAAAAAGAAAACTCACATTTGGCAATTTAAGATAACCACTAGGAGCCAAGTGTGTCTGCAATTTAATTGAGATGTGTCAGCAAAAGCGTGGACCAAAACAAGTGACAAGATCATGGGACAACAAGCAAACAAACTTCAAAAGAAGATGCAAGTTATGTAGTGAAACTAAAGAAAAGGAAGAGATGAATACTTGAACATAATCACTGTAGATCTCTGCCTTGATGAGTGCGTCTGCAAGGATGCATAAGATGCCTGACTAAAGAAGCCAAACACCATTCAACAAAATCAAGGTGAAAGCATAGGCAAGAGAAGAATTTAACAATTAAGTGATTGGTCTAAACACGAAAATTACAATGACATGATCAAGATGGAAGTGCCAGAAGAATACTCACACCACATAGAGGAACTGAAGCAGTGCCAGCATGCGGGCCTCCTAAGGATATGAAGTTTTTAACCTTTTCAATAATTAAAAAAGGAACAAATTTGCAAACATAAGTTGACAAATGTAAAGATAAGGATACAAAATGCCTAAAAATAGAAGGAAATAAACGATCACAAGAAGGATCAGCAAAATGAGAGAAAGTAAATTAGCACCAGCCATAGAGCACCGGAATAAAAGATCCATTTCTGATGCTAGTGATAAAAAATCAAATTAATCAAAGCAAGTAAATTAGCACTATCTACAGAAAAGGTTTATTGTAAAAATCAAATACGAAACAGCACATGGTTGAATTGAAGATGATTTAATTCATCCATGGCAGAGTACAAATACATTATTAAGAGTCCCCATGCAATCCATAAGATCATACAAAAGATAAATATAAAACACTGAAATAACCTAAAATTTATCCAATGACCACAACCCTCAAGCAACAGGCCAAATGATTTGAGGGGGGAAAAGTGAATGTGAAATTTATTGGGTTCTTACAGGGGGTGCTTCTTCACAATACTCCACAACACCTCGGCCAATCAAGTTACCCTGTTGGACAAAAAAAAAAAAGAAGTAATTCAAGAAAGGGAAGACAAAGCTAAGGTCAAATCATTTGAAAAGAAAATTATGTGGGATCCTGGTAACTTAGCTAGTTCAAATATCCTTTACAAATGGTAACACATATCTTTTCAAAAAGCCAAGGTCTCCTGATGACTTAATATTCAAAAGGTCATTTGATAAACTGGTGACTGAATTGAATTACTTAATGACAGTTGCAATTTAGAAGATTTAAGTCAGCTATCCAAGAAAACTAATTGATTGATGAGATCCAAGAATACTAATTTAATATGAATTTACAAGAAATGAACAGACATAACCCAAACACAATTTCTCTGCTATATTTAAGGCGTCACAAATCATTGGAGGGCTTGGCAGGAATATGAAGCAATGTGATGATGGGACCAGCGTATCAATTTACAAATCTATCAAACTAAAATTGAATATGAAATAAGTGGGAAGCCATTTTGTGAAGAAAAGACAAAATATTAAGATAAGGAAATCCTAATCCGTATAAATCACCTGAGAAAGCCCGACGATGTTGTATCCTTCACTCAATTCTTTCATTTCCTTCACCTGAAGATGATGGGGAACAAAGCATTCAAAGGCTTGAGTAACCACAAAAACCAGGTACAAAAATTACCATACTAGTCCAGCAAATCTTTATCACCTTTTTGCAAACAATCTCAGTCTGCACAAATGTATTTTTTAAAAAAAAATCAGATCATGAATAATCAATACAAGAAATAATTTCATTTCAGCAGTTTCTCTTTGGTCTGATCGCTTACCTGCTCCTGGAGAGGCATAAACCAAGAATCCCATGTTCCATCACCTATTTCTCTGGACCAGAGAGCATTGGAAATGAATAAAATTCAACCTCACATTCTGTAAGATCAAGATTATAGCAAAAGGGACCCAGGCTGGGACGCAGATAACTATGGGGGACTCTTGCAATTCAATCAAGGAATATTAGAAACGAATTAAGCATATTTCAAGCTCAGTTTTGCTATGGTATAGCAATCAATAAAAATAAAAGATATCCAAGCATACATGCAATATCCTTTCACACCAGAGTATTTGGACAGCAGTTCAGTGAATTGTGCTACTCCATGGTTGGAACACTGATCTCCAATACCTACAGTACAAATCAGTGTGATATAAGTCTCGAGTCACCAAAAACTACAGTGAACTAAAGAAAAATACATGTATAACCAAGTAATTCACTCAAAGAACCAGAAAGCTTAAAATGAGAAAATTGGGTTTGACCACATGTCAGCTGGTTGCAATCTACTAAATTAGTAATTTACAGATCAAGATATTCTTCAGACTTCAGAGATAGAATCTATATAAAACTTTAAGTGGTTATTCAATGCAATAACGAGGTATAATGCTTCATATAGTATGAAGCTACCTCTGCAAATCAATTATATTGAAGTGTCAACCTACATAATGAAACTAAGAAGGGTTCATGGGACTCAGTTACAAAATAGTTATCACAGAACTAAATTATGTGAAGCAAGCAGCTATCTACTCAATAATACACTTCATTTTATGTGTAAGAATTCTTTCGAATTTCTAGTGAAACGGACAATAAAAGTCACCACAGCTTGAGTAAAGGACCTTGAGAGATTTGAGTTTTAAAAATTATGCAAGAATATACATATTTGCACTATTCATCATACAAGCAAGCCCCCAAATAGTCTCAAGCATAAATTCCTCTTCCAGTCGATTAAACAATACCAATAGAATAGCATAGCCATAATCCAATTTGCATATTGCATATTAACAACAAAAGCTTTTTTGATTAGAAACTTTGAAAGGATCAATGTGCGTGAGATGGAAACCTTAGTGGAATTCCTCAATATTTCTTCTGCCAATGTAGACTTAGTTTTCCTACCAATAAAAAATCAGTTAAAAATGCAGAACAGGCACAAACTTTCATAAATATTAATATTGTCTGTTGAAAACAGATATATATATTGTTATTTATCATACTCCTGAAGTACCGACAACCGATTTCGAACAAAAACGAACATTTCACTAAAATTGAGCTAAATGACCCGAGCATGGGAAAAATCGTTGGATTACAGTCAAAACTGGAAGAACTCAGGAACCCCACGGTCTCCCTTCCAACAGATTCGGGCAATTTACAAACGAAAATCAAACAAGAAACTTCAAGTTTCAAAAATAGATCGAAAACAAAAAAGGGAGAATCTAAATGATCTTGGAAATAACAAGAAGGAAAAATTAAGGGCAGGCAATTACCATGGAGAACTATAAAGGGTATCGAATTTGAGAGTGGAACTGAGATGCAGGCCACAGCGAGGATGAAGAAGAAGGATGATGAGGTAAGGGCCATCCCCGCCACCAGGAAGCTGGCGAGTGTCTCCTCCAATCCAACTTGCAGAATACTTGGGCCCTCGCGAATTTACATGACATTGCATTTATCATATTGGGTTGATCATTCGTGCCATGTACGACATGATTTTTTTTTTTAAATTTTTCCTGTCACATCACCGGAGACGAAGACGACAATATCCTCGGGTTCGGTTTCGGCTGCTGAGTACCGTAGTGCTCATCAGGCCGAAACGCACCGTTTTATTAACCATGGAGAATCTCTGCCGTTCATTACGTTTTTATCTCAACCGTTCATTCATTTTTCATGTTAATAAGGCTTTTAACAATTCCTTTGGTCGACTTTACCGTTTGCTGGCTGTCAGGTTTAAGACTCTCAAACCAGAGCTTTATCGGCGTCTCCTCTCGCCGGTGCCGTCACAATCATTGGGTTCTGTATCTCCATTTGGACCTTCTCCGTCAGATCATCACCAAGGGTAGCCTTTCTGGAGAGTTATTTCCTTTATCTCGATGAGCTCTCTCTCGGCGACACAGCCTTAGCCATTTCCTGCTGATTTTTTTTGTAGTGTTTCCTGTTGATTTTTCTCTTACAGATCATCGCCAAGCATGGCTCTTAATTTCTGCGACACTTCGATGAGTTATTTCCTTTCTAGATCATTGCCAAGTATGGTTCTTAATTTCTCTTGCAGTGCTGTCCTGTCAATTTTTCTCATTTTGTTGGCTCTGTGTTGAATTTTCAACCATGGGGTGCGAATTGACGATTTGTAGTTTTATCCTTTTTATTGTGCCATTGATTGGGTTGTCAGTTCTGTCTGAAGCACGTGACATTGATTAAGCTTGTTCTTTATAACGTTATCTAAGAGAGATTTTGGGCTGACTTAAGCGATTTGAATGTTGAGAAGACTGTTTTGGATGTGGGAACTGGAAGCGGCATTCTTGCGATATGGTCAGCACAGGCTGGAGCAAGCAAAGTATACGCAGTAGAAGCAACTAAGATGGCAGAACATGCTCGTACTCTTATCAAAGCAAATAATCTTCAACATTTGGTTGAAGTAATTGAGGGCTCAATGGAAGATATAACTTTACCGGAGAAAGGTAAGCACAACTTGCTTAATCTATTTTCCAAGTTCAGAATTTAATTTTTTGGTGGTATTTATCATTGACACATTTTAATTGTCTCATTTCTAATTTTCAATGTCATGCAACTTGCAGTTGACGTGATAATCTCTGAGTAGATGGGATATTTTCTTCTGCGTGAATCTATGTTTGATTCAGTAATATGTGCTCGTGACCGCTAGCTCAAACCAACAGGTGTGATGTAAGTATTATGTTAATTTTGTTGCTGGAATAATAATAAACTTTACATTTACATGTATTAATGCTCAGCAACTTGTTTCTTTACAAAAACACTATATGATTTAGTTTAAACTGTCTCAATACAATATCGTTTCATTCAAACTCCATCACTGTTTGTTTTGGCCTGTGCTTTCTGCCGCTGATTCATTTTTTTATTTGGAATCAGGCATGCCATTGTAGAAGAACTAACGGAATTTGGAGCAACTGTGCATATATGTTCTCGTAACCAATCAGACATTGACAAGTGTTTGAAAGAGTGGAGGAGCAAAGGATTTTGTTTCACTAGATCGGTCTGCGATGTGATCTGAAGTCACCAGTGTCAAAATTTAATGCAAACTGTTGCCTCCATTTTTCATGGAAAGCTCAACATCCTTGTAAGCTTCTCTCGGGTTAGCTTGTATTGATAATGATAGTGTGGTCAGTTCTGGAGAAGATGGCTGTATTCGCGTTTGGAAATTAGCTTCGAAATAAACTTACGATCAGAGCAACTACTAATATCCTACCTTTAAACACATAATTCAATATACAGTAAAGAAATGTGTAGTTCTATCTTGCGTTTAGATGTTCAATGGTCTGCACTATTGGTGGGAAGGAAATTAGAGGTTACATTACGCTTGTGCAGTATCTTTATAGATGCATGTTAGGACTGACCCATCATTCAATCTGGATTTAGATCTTCTTAGTTATCCTTTAAAGGAAATCTAGTTATTGCCATAGAAGCTGGCAATGTTTTCAAGCTAGAATGAATAGAGAGGGAAAAGCACTGGAGGGTGAAAGAACATTTCAATATTGACTTGCAAACACACATTGTGTAAGATGATGTTCTCTGTAAATCAACGCAGAGGAAAAGAGATTATAGTACAATAAAAAAAATCTTGCCAGTATTTCTCTTTTCAAAATTGAACGATTCTTTGCATTTTAATTGACTGTCAAGCACATCTTGGGATAATATTGACCTAATCATCTTTGATGATTTGCTCACTGGGTGTAGAAATATTATGCACATCTTGTAGAAATATTTGCTCACTGCAGAAGATGTATCTACTGTTATGGGCACCAATTTGGAATCTTCTTACCATTTGAGCCAACTTGCACACCCGCTTCTTAAAGCTTCAAGATAGATGTTTGGCATCAAAAATCATGAGGAAGTGAGAAATTGTGTTTGGCATCAAAAATTAGATCTACATTCCTAAAATATATGTAGTAAGAGTAGTGTGATGTACATTTCCAAAATAGAGAAGATAATGTAAAGCTATAAATGGATAAGGATGGAAATTGATTTGCTCTATACTGGTTGCAGGATAGATGTTGCTGACAGAGTTGGAAAGAAATCTACAATGAAGCAAAGCAAGGACCATCCCACAAAAAATATGCACAATTGTTTCCAGAATTGCACTATATTGCAGAATCAAGGTGCTGCGGGAAAAAAAACAAAAAACAGAGAATATGTTAATGCTTGAAGACTCCAAACTTGCAATATGTAGTATGCTGATTTGAAGAAAGACTATAGTGCTGGTTTGTGGAATTATTAGATGATAGGGATTGTATTAAATGATGTAAAAGTATCATTTTTTGTGCAATTTTGAGTATGTAAATGTTGTTAATTGTATATAGGCCAAAAGAGACAAATGTTGTAAATTGTATATGACATTATGAAAATTAATAAAATTATGTTTTTGTGCAAATTGTGTATCTCTTTTTCTATTCATTACCTTGTGAGTAGTTTTCCATAAGATCTATAGCTTCAAGTGATGGAATTTCATTACTTTGTGCCTGCATTTGTAAATGTTAACAACCATGACATCAAAATAGGATAACAATATATACCATTTAGTAGTGACCAATTTATTGCTTCATACCACCAATAAGCTTGTAAATGACAATGATTGTGATGTAGGGGGTGAAAAAATATGTTGTACTGGAGGGATTGCATATGAAAATGTTGAATCTTGTATTTGTACTGGTTGTGTTGGAGCTTCCAAGTAAGAAATTGCTGAAGCTTGTAAATCTTTCAGTTGATCATCCTTTCTTCTTCTTTTTGATGATGAGGCCTTTTCTTTTTCCTTTGATGTCTTCTTATATGGTGAAGCTTCTTGAGAGTCCTAAAAAAAAATTCAAATACAAAATAAGTAATAATTTATTTTTGTCTTATATATAAATTAAAATTTACTACCTTTGATACAACTCTTCTTCTTGTTTTTAAATTCTTCTCTTCCCAACCTTTCCAACGTCTCTTGCTTGATTTTCCATCTCTTTTTTTGAACCCCTTTGGCATATTTTGTGACTCTATGACTAGTTTAGAAGTATCATTTTCATTACCATTAGGAATATGATTTTCTAACTCAATGACACATCTCTGAACACAAGTAAATCCCTCAAGTGTCTTAGCAGCCTTGGATGCCAATCTTCCCATCATAAGCATTAACTGTCTATACCTCTGCGTGATGTCAAGTCTAGGATCTACTTGAATCTCATTTCCTCTAACATCATGGACAACACCAAACCTTGCTTCCTTAGTCCAACGCTTTAGAATATACTGGTCAGGCATAACTCTTACATCCTTTGACTCGTACACTTTTAATGCATGACAACAAAATATTCCCGTGGACTCAAACTTTTGACAAGTACAAAAAATTTCATGGGTATCAGGTTTGAACTCAACTCTCCATTCCCCTTCCTGATCAATCATATGGGCAATATATACAAATAATGACTCTTTCTCATCACGTGTAATTAATTCTACAGAGAATTGGAGATCCCATTGCTCTTGAAACATGTCAAAAACAGTAGGGGTATAAACTTGCACAAGTTGGCGTAGAATAGGTGCACTTTGATTAACCATCCTTGGAATCTTTTGTCGAGATTCATACTCAAGTTCCACTTCTTTGTATCGCTTCTTTGCCACAACCTTGTCAAACCTTTTAAAAAATCGTTTGATGTCCAATTTTGGCTTTGTACATCTCTTCACATCAGCATTCACACTTTCACTAATCTGTGTGCTCCTCATGCCTAGTGTGCATGTTTCCTTCACATAGCACCAAGCCCATTTCTCCTTAATATCATAAGTAGACTTCAACCATCCATTTTCATGAACATTATAAGAAGATAATAATTGGCTCCATGCTTCTTCAAACTTCTCTACATCAACATAATTAAACATGCATTTCTTGAAATCAGTTAAAAAATGTGACCCATCTTTCATGAGGTTCCCAAGGTGTTTAACACCATTTTTTAATAAATGCCAACTACACAAACAATGTTTTGTATTGGGAAGAACTTCGCACAATGCTCTTGCCATCGCTTGATCTTGGTCTGTAAACACAGTTTGAGGCTTTTTTTGTATATGAGCATCCAAAAATGTTTCTAACAACCATTTAAAAGACTCAATTGTCTCATCATATAATAGTGCTGCTCCAAAAATGACCACACTTCTATGATGATTGAAGCCAGAAAATAGTGCAAGGGGTCTATGATTCTGATTTGTGCTATATGTTGTATCAAGTGATACAACCTCACCAAAATGTGCATAATCTATTAGCATGCGAGCATCGGCCCAAAAAACATTAGTGATGTGTTGATCAGGGTCCAATTGATATTTATGGTAGAATGCTGGATTTTCTTCAATTTGTTTCTGAAAGTATTCAAGTAGACACCCCACCTCACCAAACTTCATATGTCTCTTCCTTTTGCACATCAAGTAAGTCTTTACATCT